GATGTTAATAATTACTAGAAATCTTACAGTTGAAAGAAAAAGAAAAAGAAATCTTACAGTAATCAATACAGTGGGGAAATGGTATAGGACAGAGAAAATAGATCAATATAACAGAACAAAGAATCCAGAAATAAACCCGCGTTTAAATTATCAACTGACTTTTGACCAAAATGCCAAGGCATTCAGTGAGAAGTTTCCAAAACGGTGCTAGAATACATAAGGTAAAGAATAAGCTCAACCACTCAGCCTCTGGAGTCGCTGGGATTACAGGTGTGCACCACTCAGCCAGGCACAGTGGTTTACGCCTGTAATACCAGTGGCTCCAGAGGCTGAGGCAGGAGGATCATGAGTTCAAAGCCAGACTCAGCAAAACATGAGGTGTTAAGCAACTCAGTGAGACCCTGTCCCTAAATAAAATACAAAATAGGGCTGGGATGTGACTCAGTGGTTGAGTGCCCCGTACCAAAAAAAAAAAAAAAAAAAAAGAGAGAGAGAGAGAGAGCATAAACTTCAACCTCTACTTCACATCACACATAAAAATCAATTACACATGGTTCCAAGGGGCTGGTGGGGTGCCTCAGTGGTAGAGTTCTTGCTAGCAGGTGCAAGACCCTGTGTTTGATCCCCAGCAACGACGACAAAAGTGGACCATTGGCCTGTTTATAGAACCTAGAACTATAATTCTTCTGGAAGGAAAGATAATGATAATGACTTCTCCAATTTGCAGGTGGGCAAAGATTGTTTTCAGATTAAGGCACTAAAAAACAATAATCACAAATTAAAAATTTAAAAATGTATACTCCAAAACTTGATCAAAATTATAAACCTCTAAAGAAAAGACAAAATTGAGAAAATGCAAAGGCCAGTCAGTCTGGGAGAAAATAGTCACCATCCAAGGACTTATATGTAGGATATGCAATGGTTTCCTACAAGTGAAAAATTAAAAGATAATGTAAATTTCCAAATGACCTAAAGGCTTGACCAGACATTTCACCAAAGAAGACACACGAATGGCCAACACCACATAAAAAGATGCTTGGCACCATTGGTATCCACGACGTGCAAACTAAAACTACAACAAAACAACTTATTTTATCAACTAGAACTACCAAAACCAAAACGACTGACAACACCAAATGTCGGTGAGGTTGTGGAGCCAACAGAACTCTCATTCATCGCTGGTGGGAGTACGAAATGGTACAGTCACTTTGGAGAACTGTTTGATCAGGAATTCCATTCCACCATATTGGAAGTCATGTGGGTGGTCTGCCCAGATCAGGCAGGATTTCCATACAGAATTTAAAAACAATGATAGAACCAGCTAAAAACTAGTTCACTTTACATCATGCACCTTCGATTCTATGCCTATCTTCTGGCATAAACCATTTCCATCTCATTCTTTGATGCTATTACCCAAGAGAAAAAAAAATATGTCAACCAAAATACATGTACAGGAATGTTCACAGCTGTTTTATTCTTTATAGCCAAGGACCAAAAGCAACCCAGATGTCCACAACTAGGAGAATAGATAGACAAATTGTAATATATTAACAAAATACATTACTTAACAAGAAAAAAAATGCAAAATCTTGTAAATGGATCTCATAAACATTCTGTTGAGCGAAAGAAGCTAGACACAAAAGAGTACATATTAGCTTTATTTATGTCAAGTTCAAGAACAGACAAAACTTAATCCATAGCAGTGGAAATCAGAACAGTGGTTGCCAATAAAAGAAAGAACTATAGATTTACTGGAAAAGATTGGAAGGAACTTTCAGGGATGGTGGGAATGTTCTATATCTTGATTGGTATGTTGGATAAATAGATGTATATCTTTATCAAGATTATATTAAATTTCACCTAATTTTTAAAAATCACCTCAGTTCCCAACTGGATACCCAGTGAAAATGAAGGGGCACTGGAGACAGGGGGGTGGAGGCAAACCTCCCGGGGCTCTTTCCCCTGCTGCCATTGAATTGCTTAGCAGTAATGGGGGCTCCAAAAAGGAGGGAGAAAGATGGCCCTAAAGAAATTCCATTCCTAGCCAGTGATGGGGCAAAACAGTCATCTTTGCATTGTTATAATGAAATACCTGAGATAATTCATTTATTGAGAAAAAAAGGTTTATTTTGAATGACAGTTTTGGAGGTCCCAGTCCATGATCCACTGGCCCCACTGCCTTGGTCCTGTGCTGAGGTGGCACCTCATGGTGGGAGTACACAGTGGAGCAGAACAGCTCACCTTAGGGACACAAAAAGGAGAGAAAGAGAGGAGGGCTGGGTTGCCACAATCCCTTTTAATGGCATGCTCCTAGTGACTTAAGGACCTGCACTAGGCCTTGCCACATTCTACCACCTCCCAACAGCATCACCCTGGGGACCAAGCATTTGACACATGCACTCTTCCGAGATGGTCATCATACCATGGTAAACATGGTGGTGTCTTTTTCCGCAACAGAACTTAGCAGCCCTTGAGCAGGCCTGGCACCAGAGGTGGGCAGCCAAAGCTCTGCCCATTGCGTGAGATGAAAGGGCCCTGCTGGTGAGAAGGCAGCTCTCATGCTGAGCTGAGGGCTCCCAGCTCAAGTTCACTCTTCCCTGCCCAGTTGACCTTCTCACTTCCGGGTCCCCTAGCCACACTCGGTCCGTATCTGTCCCCACCCAGATCTGCCTTCCGCCGAGCTTCAGGTGTGCCACACCCAGCTCACCATGCCCCTGTCCCACAAAGCTCAGTCTATCGTGACAAACCTCAAGCTGCCTCCTGGAGCCCTGGGAGAATTGACTAGTTACGTTGCACTCCATCAAATCTAAAATACTGTCACTTCAAAGACACAACATTACTTTAGGGACATTAAAGAAGAACAAACACTGCCAATTATAATTGTAAAAGATATAATAATTTCTGTTAAAATGTGAAGAAAAGTGTAGCTTAGAATCCATGAAATATGAATTCTTCAGCATCTAGCAGAAAGCATCAGTTCTGTGATCTGAACACCCTAGTGGTCCCCAAGTCCCACTCAGGAGGTCTGCAAGGTCACAACTATTTTTGCAACCATACTAAGATGTCATTTGCCCTTTCCACTCTCCTTCTCTTATTAGGCTTCATGTGGGATGCTACTGCTCTGCAGGTCAATGGAATATGTATATTCTCATGTTGTAAAATTTTGGAGTTTTAATTTTTATGTAAATGTTGACAGACATAACCCACATAAGCAAAAGCTCTTTGGGGTAATGAGACCAAAACGTTTAGAAATCACTGCACTTGGACTATGCCCAGTCCTTGGCTGGCAGGAGCCCATGGTCAGGGTAAGGAAGGGTATGAGGAAAAGCACGTGGTGCTGAGGGTGCTCAGGCAAAGGGACTTAGCCCCGGCCAGTCAGTGAAGGCCTTCCAGAAGAAGGGGAGCATATACCTGCCAATTTCAGGCCACAGAGGACAGAGTCAAATGGCCCTGACTTGCCTAACAGAGGTCTACCTTGTCCTAGCTCAGCAACCCTAAGTTTTAGTCATGTTAGTTTCTATCACAGGAGGTTTGCAGGTAAGTCAGAGAGGCTGCGGTGAAAATAACTTAAGACATGTGAGAGAATTCAGCAGACAGGAGGTTTAACATGATCAGATCCTTGGTTGCCGGGCTGTGTCCCGGGCATTTCTGTTTTCTGCCACAGAGTTTAACACAACGTTGGACACACCAGGGTGCTTGGAGGAATGAATGTTGAGGCATGCTACAGGCATGCCAAGCAAGGCCTGGGAGCTTGGCTGCTCCAAACAAGAAAGTGCACATTGGAGTTTGAGTTGCTGGTTAATGAGTCCTACCACCTTGCCCTAAGGCTCTGGTCCAAATCAAATTCCTCCTCATCTCTTCCAACACATCTTCTTCTGCCTCCCCCATTCATTTCTCTCACAGTTCCCCAAGTTGGTGGCTTTAGCATCAGTTAGAGTTCTTGCTTGACCTGTCTGTCCTCAAGGCTGCTGGGTCCATCCCAGATCTGAACCAGGATGTCCAAGTCTGGGATGTGGGCAACAAGGGATCCAGGCAGCCACCCAGGACCTGACAGGTAGAGGGGGAGATAGCAGAGGAGGTGGACTGTCCTCACAATCTGGGAGACACCCCTGCCTTCAAGAAACAACACTGTCCCTGGCCCAGCCTGGAAAAGGAACAAGGAAAGAAAAGTCCAGGGGTCTCGGTGGGTGCCAAGAGTTGCCCCTGCAGCAGAAGTCCTGGCTCCTCCCAATGCCAATGATGCTTTGTAGGGGCAGAATCTTGACGGGAACCCAAGCCTTGGACACCCCCTCCGCTCCCCTGCCCTGGGGATCTCCCCACTACACTCACCGCCATCCTCCCTGATGGAGAGAAAAGGGCGGGACAGGGCCGCTCAGTGACAGGCCAAAGCTAATGCGGGGAGCCCAAACGCAGGGGGTTCCTTCACTTCTCTACTCCCCTACGACTCCCCGACTCCCCGCGGCACCCCAGGGGCGCTCACCCCAGGGGCGCTCTGGAAGGCTTTGCGGGAATGAAGGATTCAGAAGGAAGCATGATGTAAAGTGGAGGTGGCGAAGTATTCAGAGCCCAGGACAGAAGCAGGCAGCTTTGTGCCTGGCCTTGAGGTCCCCTTCCCCGCCGAGCACAGTCTGAGGGGGCCTTGCGCGCAGGTACGACGGGGCTCGGCGTCTCCAGGGGAGGAAACCAAGTGGGATGTGAGCTGAGGCACTGAGGGAGAAGCCGCTTTGCCAGGCGTCACCGTGGTAACAAAGACTGGCGCTGCCGGGCTGCAGATCGGGGGAGAGGGCGGGAAGGGACAAGGCTTCGAGGGGACTGAGACCGCGAGTGACCGCCTAATGAATGCGTGCGAGAGCGCGAGGGAGCGTGGTGCGGCAGAGAGTCCCAGATTTCCACAGGTCCCCGGCTGCCCGGGGCTGGCGGGGGGCGCAGGCGCGACGCGCGACGCGGCCCTCGGGCGGGGGGCGGGGGCGGGCAGGGCTGGGGGTGGGGTTATAGACACCGAAGCGAACGGGATCCAAACTTCCGGTGCCTGCAGCGCACCGAGCGGCGGTTGCACAGATTGAGGCTGCACAGGCGGAGGCTGCAGGGCGGACGCGCGGGCCGGCGCAGCCATGGTGAAGATCAGCTTCCAGCCCGCCGTGGCCGGCATCAAGGGCGACAAGGCGGATAAGGCTTCGGCATCGGCGTCGGCGTCGGCGTCGGCCCCGGCCCCGGCGCCGGCGCCGGCTCCGGCCGCTGAGATCCTGCTGACGCCGGCTAGGGTGAGAGGGGCCGGGGGCTCGGGCGAGGGCGTGGGATCCGGACGCGTCCTGCTGGCCCCCGAGACTGCCCGAGGCGCGTCGGGACTCGGGAGCTGCGAGCCCAGCAGGAATGGGGTCTCCATCCCAAATTGGGCAAGGGGCTTGGGTCTTGCACTAAAGTGACAGCAGAAAGCAGAAGCGGTGGACCTTAAGTGAGGAAGCGCTCAAGGTCTCTTCCAAAAGTGGAGGGGACCCTTGGTGCCTTTCTCCAAAATAGGGGAAGGGGTCTGGTCCTTGAAAGTTCGGGGAATGTTGGTGGGGGCTTTGCGTCTGTTTCCAATCAAGGGGGAGGGGCCGCGAATCAAGTCCCCAGGTGGGGGATGGGAGGAGGGCTGGACCTAGTTTCCCCCAAGTCGGGCGGTGGGACCCGATTGGTTGGGAAATTGGTCGAGGGGGGAGTCTGGTGCCAACGCCGGAGGAGGGGCCATTGATTTCGTTTCAAAATGAGGTCCTGCTGGGGATGGAGACTGTGCTGCTGGTCCGCACTGGAACTGGCGGACCAGAAAGTGATGAAATGGAAATAAACCAGAGCCGACCCCGCCGCGCCTCCGAGGATACCGGGTCCGAGCGCAGCGTCCTCTTCCACCCACCCCTGGGATCGGGGTCTTGCTGTCCCCTCTCCGCCCTCTTGCTGGGCTGCCCCCAACCCTGCCACGGCGGGAGGGCTCCCCCACTGCCCCAGTGCCCTCGGCATCCCGGGTCTCCGGCCGGCTTTGTGGGGGCGGGCCTCGATGCGTCCCGCCTTCCCGCTGGCCTAGGGGGAAGAAGGCATTTCCGCCGTGGAAAACGGTCTGAGCTGCGTGGAGTGTGTCCGGGGAAGGGCCCAGAGGGCAGGACGCGTGGCGGGAAGGGAGGGGAAGAAGGGGAAGCTGGCCCAGTCAGGCTTCATTATGACCCTGCAAAGGTATCAACATCAGCGATCTTGGGGCGCACTAAGCCCCGGCTCCACCATCTAAGGACGAAGGTCCCAGTCTACTCCCTTCTCCTCTCCAAGTTCTCTGTGGCTCTCTTTCAGTCTCACCCTTGGTATTTGGGGGCCTGCAAAGGATGATCTTGGAGAGAAGCCTCAGAGGTGGGGTTAGCCTGAGCAGAGACCCTCAGTGAGGAATGCCAGGGGCCTGGCTGGCACCCTACTTTTGTGTGGTGGTCGCTGCAACAGCTAGAGGTCCAGAGCGACAAGAAATCAGCGACCACCCTGGCAAGGTTGGGCACCCCAACGGGAGCAGTGCCATCTTCATCCGAAGCTTAGATGGAGAGTGGGTTTTCCACTCCATTTGAAGACTGTTGTCTGCTGTCTGCGGGTTTAAGTTTGCCAAGGGCTCTGCAAGCCTCCTTTTTACCACAGGGAGCCAGCCTCTCCCCCTCCTCTCAGCAGGGGGAGGGGCAGCTTATCTGTTCCCAGCTGCTTCTCCCAGGGGCAGACCCCCAGCCAAGCCCAGGAACCAGGACTCTGCTGCTAAGAGCTACTGGATTTGGGAATTCAGGAGGGAGGACCGAGCCAAGCAGTGGAAGGATATAACACCAGCTCCATCCTTATAACTCCAATTCCATGGCAAAATCCACCAAATTCTGTAGGAGTGATACATTCTCCCATGGAAGCCGGTGTTGGGCAGGATGGTAGAGTCCAGTGTGGTGAAGTTTCAAGTTTCAATTTTCCCATTAACTTCTGAAGGCAAAGTAATTTTAGTCTAGCTGGGAGCCATGGCCACAAACGCCTGTAATCCCAGCGGCTGGGGAGGCTGAGGCAGGATTTGAGTTCAAAGCCAGCCTTAACAACTTATTGAGGCACTAAGCAACTCAGCAAGACCCTGTCTCTAAGTAAAATATTAAAAAAGGCTGGGGATATCGCTCAGTGGTTGAGCATCCCTGGGATCAACCCTCAGTGTCAGAATAATAATTTTAGTCTATAAAGTAAACTGACAATGCGCAGATTATCAGGAAAAAGCATAAAATTGTTGGCATTTAAGCAGGGAGCCATACACAAAGAATGAGTCTCAAAGGAGAGGCCCTTGAGCTGAAGTTTATGCAGTGTCTAGGAAGAGAGCTTGGGGTGTCACAGGCTATGGAAGAGTGAGGTGAAGAAAGGTCACTACAAACAAAGGTGGTCGGACATGGGTGAGGCCTCCCAGCTAACAGCCCTCCAAAAGCCACCTGTGGTCATCTCTGGGTCTGGGGTAAGACGCCTAGATAACTTAGTCCTGTGAAAAGCTCTTTCCAAGGGGGGGCAGGGGGCACTTCAAGATGCATCCACTATGTATTTAACTTACTTTCTCTAGAGATGCAAATCTTCCCCCACAAAAGGACAGTTTTAAAGAGCTAGTCCCATTTCTGCACTCCCGCTGAAGAGTCATCTCAGCGATTTGCAAAAGAAGCCTATTTGGTGGTGGGCTGTTTTGACCTCCCTTGCCAGCATGGCCTGAGCAGTAATGGACATCCAGCTTCTGGCTTTTATTGGGCTCTGAAGCTGACAGCCTCTTGCCCTCTCCCAGCATGAAATGGAAATATCAACAACCTCCTGCTTGCTGTTAGTGATGGCCTGCAGCCTGCTGAGTGGCCTCCCCTCTAATTGGCAATAGGGAGCTTGGGAGGCCAGGGCAGTCAGAAGAAGGAATCAAAACCCAGCACCTTTAGGACAGAAACTGGGTATTAGTGAACTTGCCTGCTTGCTGAGGCCCTGAGCCGATACAAGGGGCTTTGGTTGTTGCATGTTGACTCTGGCCTTCACTGCTGGACCTGGAGCCTTGGAAGGATTCACTGCTGCAGGCCTCTTCTTGCCCCACCTAGCTACAGGGCACATTCCCCCCTTGCCCCGTGCCTGGCAGAGCCCCGCCTCCCCACCCCAGCAATGAGAGCGGGCAGGAGGCCCATTTAGCAGCTGTCGCTTAAGACAGAATATCAGCCTTTTGGGGGGGGTCTCAGAACCCCAGAGCTGCTTTTTCAAGACAGGACATTTGGATTTGACAGCTAATATTAGAAGGTCTCTTCCTGGTTGTGACCACCTCCTCCCCCAGCCCTCCCTGGTGTCTGTACTGTTCTCAAAACCAAGGTTTCAACGGCCCTGGCAGTCCCTGAGAGGGCCACTCTCAACAGATGAGCAGCCCAGGGCTTTTGGGTGGTAGGCAACCTGTGTCCTAAAGGGAGAAGGACGCAGCACTCTCTCAGGAGAGACTGCCCCTGTCTCTGAACAAACAGTGAAACCGGAGGATCTGTCCCCAGACCTGATGGGGGAAGGAAGTCCCTCGGTGGGTTGGGGAAGGGGCCGGGTGGGGCCAGCTGGGCCTCCGCTGCTAGCCTCTCCACGTGGTGTTTGGACTGAGATAATGAGGAACCTGTGCCGTGGGCCGCTGGTGGGGAGCCAGCTTCACCCGTGGCTGGACAGAGGAGAGTACCCCACCCCAGTCCCACCCCACACCCGCCACTGCCGCCTGCTAGTGGGCCTGCCCCTTCAGCGGCTTCCCTCTCCCCACACTCCTCGTGCGGGTGTGGACGTGCACAGGTCCAGGCTGGGGGCGCTGGGGGCTGCTGGGGGGACGTGTTAAACACAGTCATCTCAGCCTGTTAATTTTCTCCTTGACATTTGCCTTTGATTAATGGCCCCTGTGTTGCCCCATCCCCCAGCCCGCATACCTGCGGATCAGATTTCACTTTCTGTGAGCATCAGGGCCTCTGGCCCTTGGCAAGCAGGGCAGTGGGGGAGGGTCCCCTGCCAGCGAGGAGGGCAGGTCTGGCCAGCTTGGAATCCTACCCTAGGCCCCCATGCCCGCTGGCTGGGAGGGCTGGGCCAAAAGGACCTTCAAGAAAGGGCTGCCCAGCCCCACATCCTTTTCCATGGCAGAATGAGGACTTCAGGGACAATGTCCCTTCCTAGCCTGCCCGGGGGCTTTGGCATTTGGGCCGGTACCACTGCCCTGGCGTTTCTGCTGCCCTCCCCGGTTTCCTCTTTTCTGTTTTCCTTTGCCAGTCTTTGCATGGTTCAAGACTGTCCTCACACTGCCACTGAGGGTTTCTCCTAGTGACAAAGGTGTTTGTGATAACATCGCTGCAGCCCAGCTCTGCAGCCGTCCACCCCCACCCCCAGCCCTTCCAGCCTGGAGCTTTGCTTAGCTTGCACCCTTCCTCAGCTCTTGTTCTCTGCCGCCTTCACTGTCAGGGCTGGAGTGGGAGAGAGCGTTCCTGCACCCAGCCAAGCCCTGCCGCCAGGCACTTCCCACAGGGTCCTCAGACTGGAGAGTAGGACAGGAGTGGGATTCCACTCTCTGCGAATCCTTGAACCCTGTCAGCACGTGGCGTGTACCCAGGGCTCTGTGTGCTCAGGGGGACAGTGGACATTCACCTCTCCTGCCACCACGGCTAGCTGTCTCATCTGCCATTGGCACCCTTGCCCCTGGCCTGGAGCCTGCAGCCTGGGAAGGGAAAGATGCTAAGGATGGGAAGGGTGGGGGAAGAGAGTGCGAGTAGAGCCGGACCCAGCCACTGACCCCGTGCAGACAGGCTGTCCTTTCCAGCCTCCCCAAGTAGGCTGCGAATAGTTTAATCTGCTTAGGGCTAATTTGGACACTGTGGAGGAGGAACAGCTGCAGAGCTCTCCCCACCAGCCACGGGGTCTACGTTGCTGCTTCATTTGGTAGTTCCCTGTTCTTTTCGCCTCTGGCTTGCCTGAACAGCACCGTTGTGATCCATGAAGCCTCAGGCTGTGGCCCGAGCTCCTCACAAATCCCTGGATGTCTGGCTCACATGCTGGGAGAGCGTGTTGCCTTGGAAACAGTAGCGATGTTCTCCTGCTTTCTAAATGGAAGCCCCCGGTGCCTCGCTGTCAGTTACTGCTCCGTGTGGGGAGCAGCATTTCTCTGGGCCACTGGCATGACAGGTGGAGGAGCTGAGGGGTTCCCAGGAAGGCTGGACGCTGGCCAGACCACTGCTGCCACACCATCCTCAGACAGGGTCTGATAACCCAAAGGTCATGGCCTCCAGTGAGGGCCTAGGAAGACTGGGAGGGTTCCAGGGCTTTGGAATTTGAGCCTTGACCTTGATTGTGTAGTTTGGCATCCTGCGGGCAGGGGCAGTGCTGAGCCTTTTGTCCCCCAGCAGGGATGTCCTGAGCTCTGTGGTCCCAACTTCACTTCCAACAACAGTGCTCAGTCCTGATGCTTCTGAGGGTTTGGCTCCGAGGGCGGGAGGGTGTCAGGTGGGTCAAGGGGTGGCTGAGACCCAGGTGGGTGCTTGAAGGTGTCCCTTGCAGAGACCAAAAGAGCCATTTATTCATGTAAGGGAATTTCAAGTTTTCTCTTTTTCCCTCTGAAGCGTTTGATCGTTTTTAGCCTATGAGATGAACGGCCAGTAGACAGAGTAACAGGAAAAACAAACAAAATTTATTATAGGCATGGGAGGCATAGACTCAAAGACAGGGCCAGAAGCCCAAATAGTACTATGAGCTATCGACTCGAAATTGAGTCCTGAGGCCGCTGGGGAAGTAGCCAGGGAAGTTACAGAAGGGTCTGAGTCACCAGCTGGAAATAGGCCAGAGAAATGTGTCTGGGGTGGGGTGTTTTGATTTCCTTTACTGCCCCTGGCTAGGAGAGGGGTAACTTAGAGGGGTTCACCCGCAGCATCCAGGTAAGGTAGGGGATCCCCATAACCAGTGAGGGTCCTGGCTGGACCTTGCCAGCCGGGACCTGTTCAGCAGGGGCCACTCAAGTTGGCCTCCTACATGGAGATGCCAGATGCGGTGAGGTCTGCAGGCCTCCCCTTGTCCCGGGTGGAGCAGTCCCCAGGCTCTTGCTTGAAGCCCATTGAGGGTCTCCCCTTTTCTTTTTTTCTTTTTTTTCAGTTTTCCCAAGCTAACTTCTCTAGTTTTCCAGAAAGAAAGAACAAAAGCCCAGGCGCTGTGCAGCCTCTGCTGCTGTCTGCAGCGAAGCCCTGAAAAAGGACACACTCGGCAGAGATCTGCTATTTTTATCTGGTGCTCTGCTCCACCGAGGGCTCTCAGGTTCTTTGTCTCTTAATCCCAATAAAACCCCTGTCCGGAAGCCTGTCCACACTTTACCTGATGACCCGAGGAGTGTAGGGCTGCTCTGCCCTGTGACAGGGCCCCTGGGCCCACCCAAGTCTGGGCCCCCTTATGCCACATGAACCCCTAAAACAACCAGGGCCTTGGAATGCAGGATTCACAGCAGGTGCCGGTGGCCTGGCCTGGCCCTGGGTCAGCCACCTTTCCTTGACCAGTGGTGACCACTGGAAAAGCAGAATGGCTGCCACTTCCCCTGGCTGCTTGTTTGCAGGACCTCGTGGCTTGTTCCTGTGAGATGCTGGTGGACCTAGGCTACTGGTGTTGACCAGGAGAGCCTGTTGGAAAGTCCACCTCACAGCTGTCCCAGGCTAGCTCTCTGCAGTGCAGAACTAGGTGTGGGGTGCAGAATGGGCTGGGGTCCCATCCCATAGCATGGAAACTGGGGGCCAACTGGCCTGCTGATGGATAGTCTGGTATGGGGAGTCTTCCAGGTGATTTCTGTTCTTTTCCTGGGGCCTGGGGCAGGGAGAGTACTATGCCGGGAAGGATGAGACCCTCAGTGGGGCTCACCCCAGCTCCCTGAAGCCCAAGCCCCTCAATCCACCTGTACCCCACTAGTCCAGAACCTCTGTGAGGTGCTGAGATGAGGACCCATCTTGAGTAACTTAGACACAAACCACGTCCCCACCTCCCAAACCCTCCCCCAGAGTAACAGGAGAAAGGACACGTGCACATTCCCAGAGTCTGGCAAGAAAGGACCTGAGAGGTGGGTCTCACCTGCTCATTGTGCAGGTGGTCTAGGCAAGCAGCCAGAATAACCCCTTATTCTCCTGGACTTGAGCCCTCCCAGTCCACTATTCTGCCTCAGCTGCTTGAGGTTTGAGGGTATCTGTAGGGACTGGCCTCTGACCTCACCCTCAGCCATACCTGGACACAGAAGGAAAGGTTGAGTGGTGGAGCTGGAATCAGGCCCAGGGTTTCGCAGCATTTCCCAGGGTGACTGAGGGCCCACCTGGGTGAGGGCACAGGGACCAGGGCAATGGGAGACAAACAGAAAGATGACCAAGGACCCTGGTCACTCTCCGTCCAGTGCCCCATACAACACAGTGGGGAGTTTCACACTCACCCCACCCCAGACTCCTGAGGCCTGGAATTGGGTCCCGCTGGTGTCTTGGCAGCCCTGCAGCTCTGACCCTGAGCCCAGGTCTGGCTCACAGAGCGAGTTATTTCCTGGAGCCTCCTGGGCTGGCCTTCCTGACAGCCATGTGTCCCTCCTGGTGGGAGTTCCCCTTGCTTCTAGATGCTTCCAAACTTCACCCTGTAGACTGCACTACTCACAGCCTTCCCCTGCTGAGCCCTAGAGGAGGGCTGGGCGTAGTGGATTGCAGGCTGGTGTAATGAGAGGGCTAAGAGCACAGGTGGCTCAAAATAAGTCTGTCTGTCCCCCAGCTGATCATTTCAGGTGGCTTCAGGTGTGTCTCCATCTCCCTCCGCTGCGACACCCTGGCCAGGCCCTCTCCTTCACTTGACATGTGCTGTCCTGTGCCTTCCTCCAAGGCACTCTTGGCTCAGCCAGAGGGGCCATGCTACTTGGGGAAAGCGGGTATCCTCTGAAGCGCCTGGCTGACCCCCACTGTTGTCCACAGGAGGAGCGGCCCCCCTACCACCGCTCCAAGAAGGGGGGCTCGTTGGGCGTGTGCTACCTGTCCATGGGCACAGTCGTGCTGCTCATGGGCCTCGTCTTCGCCTCTGTCTACATCTACAGATACTTCTTCCTTGCTCAGGTGAGGGGCAGCAGGCGGGGCTTGTCCTGGGAGAAGGGCGGCCTGGGGGCAGGAGTGGAGGGAGGGTCGCAGCAGGCGTGGACGGATGGTCAGGTGGGAGCCAGTGCCCAGGCAGGCCCAGGCCAGCCCCCAACTCGTCTTCTTTCCCTGGGGAACCAAGCTCTGATCCAGGTGGAGCACTGGGGTCCCTTCTCCGCGTCACCCTGAGGCATTGTTACCAGAAACTTGAGCAACAATTGGAACTGTGATCTCCGATGGCGCAGCCCCTGAGGCTCCTTACGGGGCCTCTCCAAGGTGGTGCTGGAAGGGTGATTGCTTCCAGGCCCTGTGTGCACATGGGGGTTATGGGTCAGGAGAGGCGGAGGTGGGCACAGATTCACTGTGGCCTCCTTGAAGGAACAGGAGGGCGACTCAGAGGAGCTCGCTTTGCCTACAGCCTCACCCCCTAGTGTGGTTTCACCCCCTGGGTCTCTGAGCCCCGGTCTGGGGAGGGAGGGAGGGAGGGTCACCACATCTCAGCACTGAAGATCAACAGGGTAGACACAGCTGCACCTAATGGGGAGTCTCAAGGTGACCCAAGCCTGGGGCTTGCCAGTCATTTGTCCCCTCCCACCCCTAAGTGTGTAACTTTGTTGTCACCCAGCTTTCCACCGTGAGCGTTACTGAAGGGTTTGTGTTCCCTGGTTTTCCCCTAGAGGCCTCAACTCCCACGGTCCGCACACCTTCCAGGCCTGTGCTTGAAGGTGCGGCTTCCCATGCCTGCTGGTGGCCCGGATGTCCGGCCTTCCCACAGTCCACCTGTCCTGCTGCCCACTTGAGGCAGGTGCCCCTCTCCTTGCAGGGCCTCTCTGGTCCCCTTCTTGTTGTGGCCCTACCCCAGGACCTGCTCGGGCTCCACCTGTCCCCACGCAGGCCCTTCTGGGGTTCCTCACCCCACTCTGGTTCCCAGGCACTGCCAACGTCTCAGAGCAGCCCCTGGGATAGCATGTGAGGCATCCAGCCCGGGCCTGGCAGCCACCGTGGGGCCCAGCCCTGTCACCTCGCCTCCCTGGGCTGCTGGTGATTCAGCCTCCTTAGAGCACTGATTGGCAAGGGATTCTGACAGTTATGGGTCGGGCAGTCCCTTGGAGATTCCCAAGCCCTGGAGAAGTCAGGGGCACTGGTCACCCATCGCTCCACTGACACCAGTCACACTGCCTCACTTCCCTTGTTCATGGGGCCATTGGTCCAGCCCACCTGGGGGGGGGGCAGCCGGCATGGTGTTTAAGGCTCCTCGGGGACCAGGACCGGTGCTGGGACTTGTCTGAGTTGGGCATGGTGGAGAATCTCCCTGTGCTGCCTCGAAGCTCCTCACCGCCCTCCTAATGTCACCAAGGTGGCTCCCGAGCCTGTCCAGCTCTCCTGTCTCCCCTGCAGACCCTCCTGCCCCACCCCAGCTTTTCTCTGGTGTCTCCTCTGTGAAGGGTGTGGGGCTGGTGGGTGCTCTTTCTGCTGGTCCATTTCACAGAATCATGGCCTTTGAGATCAGAGGGGACCTTAGGGATTACCACACTTTGCAGATGGGGAGCTTGGAGCTGTCTTCCTCCTAGGACCTCGCGCCCCTGCTCAGTCTCTCCTCCATTTGTGAAGCTATGAAGTGCCTTCTCCAGGCTCCAACCTGACTCCACTTTCTGTTTCCCTGTCTGTGAAATGACCTCGCAGGCCCCACCCATCCTGCTTCCCCAGGCCTTTGGGACATGAGGTGCACAGGTAAGCGGCCGTGGCCGCGTCCAGAGCGCTGTGTGACGGTCTGTCTCTCCCCCGCCCTGCTCAGCTGGCCCGAGATAACTTCTTCCACTGTGGCGTGCTCTACGAGGACTCGCTGTCCTCCCAGGTCCGGACTCGGATGGAGCTGGAGGAGGATGTGAAAATCTACCTCGAAGAGAACTACGAGCGCATCAATGTTCCCGTGCCCCAGTTTGGTGGTGGGGACCCTGCAGACATCATCCACGACTTCCAGCGGGTAAGGCCAGCTTGTGGTCAGCCAGCAACTTGCCAGGAACCGGGACTGGGGTGGTGGGAGGGCATCCTGGGGACCTGGAGCAAGGAGCGGGAGCCAAAGAGAGAATCCTTGGGGTGTTTGTAAACTGTAGTGGAAGTCTACATTTGAACACCAGACTTTTAAAGACTTTGCTTTCGTTATATAGGTAATGCCATTATCACTGAGTGTGGATTAGCAGTGGGGGATTTTTCATGGATGCTGCTTGCCACGGCAGGGTCTTTGTGTCTGCCCACATTTGGTCAAGGGGGAGGGCATCCCATTGCCAGGTACACTGAGTGTGTTTCTGCAGAGGTGTGCGAGGTGTGCATTTGACCCGCATCAAGCTGTGGCACATTGCCAGCACTGTAGGAGCCCCTGATGCCCTTCCCAGCCAGTCTCCTCCCCCTTGAAGTAACCTTCCCGTCTGTGACTGTTTGGGAGCCAGTGAAGTACAGGCCCAGCCCTCTTTCCCAGGTGCTTGCTTCCCAAAGCCTTGCAGGGGTTTCAGCACCAACCCTGCTGTGTCCTGGTGGCCTGCAGCAGAGTCCCACAGGGGACCTGGGACAGAGCATCTCTCCCTGAGGTCCAGACTGTCCCCAAGGATGGTGTGACCGCACAGGTTTAAGGAAATGCACAGTTGGGAGATAATCATATGTCTCAAACCTTGCTCAGCTCTGCAAGCCCACGGTCAGTCTCTGCAGTAACCAAGGCGCTGGGCCAGCAGGCGCCCAGCTAGCAAGTGGCACAGGCTGGCAAGACCCAGGAGTCTGGGAATCTGGGAGGCACCACTCCCGAGGGATTCGGGTCAAACCCTCAGCTCCTGCAAAGTCAGACTGGCACCTCCTCCTGCGCAGGGTCTCACCGCCTACCACGACATCTCCCTGGACAAGTGCTACGTCATCGAGCTCAACACCACCATCGTGCTACCCCCTCGCAACTTCTGGGAGCTCCTCATGAATGTGAAGGTGAGCAGCGTCATGTCCCTCCTTGCCCTCCTCCCCTGTGGAGACCAGACCTGGGGACCTAGGGACATTGCTCTTGCATCCCAGATTGGTCATGCGTCCATCGCCCCTTGGTCCATATCCCCAGAGTCACTTCTATCCTTTTCCTCTCTTTCCACTCATTGAGAACCCCAAGACCTTCGCATTCAAGTTTATGCTCCGTGTCAGCAGTGACCCCAGGAGCACTTCCCCTGGGGTGGGAGACCAGACCACACACATGCCATAGGTCTTGACAGTATAGGCACAGACACTGGCCTGGGGGCATCAGAAAGGCCAGCAAGGGGCCTCTGGGTGAGAGCTGGGCACCTCGGGTGTGGGAGCAGGGGGCACATGTGAGCCACAATGGAGGTGGACAAGCAGAAATCATGGGAGGGAGCCCCTGGTCCTGACCCTGTGCTGTGACCTCTCCCTTTGCAGAGAGGGACCTACCTCCCGCAGACGTACATCATGCAGGAGGAGATGGTGGTGACCGAGCACGTCAGTGACAAGGAGGCCCTGGGCTCCTTCATCTATCACCTGTGCAATGGGAAGGACACATACCGGCTGCGGCGCCGAGCTACCCGGAGGAGTGAGTGGCTGGCCCCTGTCCCTGGCCCCAAACCCCAGCTGTCCGAGAGCTCAAACAGCAGCAGGACAGCAGCTAAGGTTCACTGAGCACTTAACATGTCAGGCGCTGCTGTACACGTCACCAGTGTCATCTTAATGATGAGGAAGCAGAGGCATGGACAGGTGAAGTGACACTCCCAAGGTCCCACAGAGAGGAAGTGGCAGGTGTGGGCAGGCTGCTCCAGCCTCTGGGTTCAAACCACTGTGCAGCTTGGTGTGAATCTGGGTGTCACTTCCTAGGCCTTCCCTGCCCCCGCCACCTTGGGTCCTGAGGTCCTTTCTGGTTAGGGACACAGACCTCACTGGGATTTCTGTTTCCTCCCAGGGATCAACAAGCGCGGGGCCAAGAACTGCAACGCCATCCGCCACTTCGAGAACACCTTCGTGGTGGAGACCCTCATCTGCGGGGTGGTGTGAGGCCCCTCCTCCTCCAGGCCTGCCCCTGCCCTCTTCTTTCTCCTTCCGGCCACTCTCTGGCCCTTCTCTCTCTCTCCCTTGCTTAGCTTGTTCTTTGGACACCTTTCCATAGATGTGACATGTCCACCCTTCCTTTCCAGCCCTGCCGGACACTGGTACCAGGGCCGTGACCTCTCAAGGCCCCCGCCTCTGCTGACCTCCCAGGGGTGGGGGAGGAAGGGACACCCAAGATGGTTTCTGTGACCCACCGTCTTGAAGTTGGGTCCCCAGTGGCTGGGCCAAGGGGAAGGACCTGAGGGAGGGGCCGGGCAGGGTGGGAATTGAGGTTCTGAAACACCGGCCCAGTTGGGAAAGTCCTCAAAGACCTTTTCCCAGGGTACAACTTCCTCTGCTGATTCCCAGCCCTGGGGTGTAGGCTGAGGAGTGGGGATGTGCCCAGGGACGGACCCCACCAGAGCACAAGGGAAGGTGGCTGTCCTGGGGACTCCTCAGGACTCCTGTCAGTGCCTTTGCCCACCAGCAGGAGCCTGGAGCGTGGGGGTGGGACGAGTCTGTCAAGCACAACTGTTCTCTGAGTGGAACCAAAGAAGTGAGGAGCCAGGGCCCCCAGCCTGGCACCTGGGAGCACATGCCGGGTCCCACGGCCAGGCCGGAATAGCGGGGCATAGCGCAGGGGGTCCCTTGTCCGTGAGCTGCTGGCTCCGGGAGTTGGGGGAGCTCTTGCTTTCTCCAAGCCCAGCCTTGTAGAGATGAGGGGGAGGGAGAGCCACCTGGTACTTGTGCACCCTGCCCCCTGTTCTGAATCCACCCCTCTGCTGGAGGGCATGCAGTGTGTTTCCTTATCCTTCTCACTTTTGCATGTTTTTACTGACGTTCTATATGCTACCGTCCCCAGTCCTGAGCCTTGGAGAGGCTTCGGCGCCTCAGTCAGACTCAGGTGCTCTGGAGATGAAACTCTTAAATGCTTTGTATATTTTCTCTATTAGATCTCTTTTCAGAAGTGTCTGTAGAAAATAAAAATCTTTTACTTCTGACTGATCTCTGCGTGATGGTGGGGTGCCATGGGCTGGGAAACTCTCCAGGGCAGTCCTGTGTGGCACTGGTGGCACAGCAGGCAGGGTCAAGCTGGCAGGCCTGGCATCTGGCCCCTAAAGAGGTGGGCATGCTCCCTGGTTCAGCCAGGGAGCACAGGATCTCCCCTCCATTGTCTCTCTGGATCCTCTGGACCGATGTTTGGGACCTGGGAGCTCGTCTTGCAGGTGAGGATGGTGGAGGGTGAGCTGAGAGCTTCTGCATCTCAGCCAAGGTCAGGCTGCTTTTAAGTGCTGTAAACCACCCTGTTGTATTCTGCGTGGCAGGTGACATCATCATTGCATGTCCTTAAGCACAAGGACGGTGTCGTGTTCTCCACAGTGTCTGGACAATTGGTAACTGTTCTTGGTGGATCTGATCTGAGGTTTGGCGTGATAATCATGGGGTCACTTCCTCCAGAGGAGGAGCAGTGAGTGAGCTGGCCAGAGTCTTGGTTAAGTGGATCCTGGAGGTGAGACCTGCATGCTGCCCTGGGACAAGGGTGGGAGGGCACCTGCAGCCACGGTGCTGTTTACAGTCTGGCTGTCCTTCAAGGGTCATAAGAAACTCAAAGTCAGTGTAGCTGTACTCTGTACTTGGGCACAAAGGCTCTTGCAGAAATGTGGTTTGCTTACCTTAAAATGCCAATCTGATTTGTTTTTTTAACTTGACACGATCAGTACTTTGGGGAGAGTAAACATGGAGAATAGCTAATTAAATCCAGAGCAAGGTCAAGAACTGCCCCTGAGATATTCACCATTGTAAACTACAAGAATTAAAGAGTTTAGTGTAGCAAAGGGAGAGGTCAGCAGGACAAGGTGGGGTGGGGGCAGAAATTGACTTAAATTACAGAGGAATTTCATTCCCCATTAGAGTGGCATTTCGAGTTAGCAAGGACTCATGTGGGTTATTTTTAATGGCTAGCCATTTGGACAAAATTAACCTGGATCCTACTTCTCTGTACAAAATAAAATCTGGATGAATCAAAGTTTTAATTATGAAGTGAAACCATAAAATTGCCTGAAGAAATGATTGAAAATAACCTTGGAGGCAAAAAGATTTTTCTAAGCATGATACCCACCAAGTTGGAATTCATAAAGGGGAAAAGTTGAAATGTATACATAGCCAAATATACCACAAGGCCAAGAGTTTATAAGTAGCAAACTGGAAAAGGTGACTTTCAACACAGGATGTATCAAGGGCTATTTTCTATAACATGCCAAGTTTTTATTTGTATAAATCATGAAACTTGAACAACCCAGTAGATAAAAGGGCAAAGAATATGAAGAGGCAGTTCGTGGAATGAGAAATAGAAGTGGATCAAAGCTTGCACACAAAAAGATGTTTGATTACAGTTTTAAAGAAAATGCAAATCAAAGCTAGGGAATAAAATTTTTACACCTCAAGTTAAGGTTGGCGTTTTTGTTTTTATATTGTGATGCATCTATTGTACACAAAATACTGTAAGTGGTTGGGATGTTGTGAAGTTATTTGTAAGTTGTGAAGCGTGGTGACTAGGTGGATCTGGAAACCCACCAGCCAGCTTATGGAGCAGCCGATCAGCTGAGCTCTGAGAGAGGAAGCAGAAGCTTCCAGTCCCTTAAGGCTGGGCTCAGAAGTCCCAGATGGGCTTTGCATCACATTGAGCAAATTCGCAAACCCAGCCCAGACTGCAAAGAAGGGGAAGAGGGCCACCTCTAGAGGCGGGGAGGGCCTCATGTCAGGGAGGCAAGAAACTGCCGGCAGCCCATGTTTAGATACTCCCACGTCACCCCAGCACCCGTCCTTCCCTCCACCTCAAATTTCTGAGAGGGACATGCAAGACCTGAATTAGTGCAGACACCCTTACTCTTAGATCTAAAAACAATCTTGAAAATATTTCAATTTCTCATATATTCATCAGGTGATTCCTATCCTTAGTGTACCACATATCTAAGAATCCTTAATGTAGTTACTTGGGTTTAAATAGTGCAACCATGGTGACAAAAATACCGCACATGTTTTACTCTCTGACGTGCTTTTCCCCTCAGTCTTTCTAAGATCTGTCCATGTCGATGCCTGTAGTATTTAACTCATGTTTACTCTTGTATCAGTGTATTATGTGAACATACAATTTAATTAAACTATGACTATTTGGGTTATTTCTGATTTTTACAATTGCAGTGCCTTCGTGAACATTTTTATGGGGCTTTTGGACAAGAGTTTCCTCTTTTGTATGCCTAGAAGTGGAGTCATTGGGTCACACAGGTTGCAAGTGTTCAACTCACGAAATTCCATTAGATGATTTTTTTATAGGAAGTCGAACCAATTTATACCCCCACCTGCCCTGCATCGTCCTCCTCCCTGGCCCACATCCTTGCCAACACTTAATGCTGACAGTCCTTAAGATTTTTTTGCCATTGGATTGGAAGTAAAATGATATTTCATTATGACTTTAATTTTATCTCTTTAATTACTAGAAAAGGGGCAAGTTTCGAATGATCATTGGACTCTCGAATTTCCTTTTCTGTAATAAGCCTACTTGTGGTTTGGGGCCTATTTTTCTATAGGAAGCTTTATTTTCTTCCGTTTAATTTGTAGGAGTTCTTTATATATCATATAATTTTTTATTTTGTCATTAATGGACAGCAAATCATCTCACTCCAGTTAGTAATTTATTTTCTTACTTTCTTTGTGGTCTCTGATAAATAGAAATTATTGATTTTAATGTAGTCAGATTTGTCCATCTTTTTCTTTACAACTTGTTGCATCTTGTTTCAGAAATCCTGTTCCAAGATTGAAGACATTTTCCCATTCCTATAGTTTCTTCAGTGCATTTAAAAATTTTGGATTTTATGTTTTAAAATCCCCCGGAATTTATTTTTTGGTAGGGTGTGAGGCGGGGTAACCATTTATTCTGGGGATTTTGTTAGTTTTGTTTTTTCTCCCCTTTGAGCTATGGTATGTGTCTGCATAGATCAGGTTTTCATGTGTGTAAGGTCATTGCCGGGCTGTCTATTTTGTCCTGTTGGGTCTATCACTGGGGCCATAACCATACTAAAAATATGATTTTCTCTGTCAGAGCCATGACGATCTGTGGCCCTTTTTTCTCCAGGTGCATCTCGGAGACAGTTATCAAGTTTTGTGAAAACCTCTGTTAAGATTCTTACTGAACTTGTGTTAAATCTATAGGTCCATGTGGAGAGGCTAAAATAATCATGATACCAAGAGTTCCAATCCATGGGCATGCTATTTAAATTTTTATTTAAACCTTTAATATCTTCTAATACTGTTTATGTTTTTCTGAATAGCGGTCTTTCATTAGGTTAGTTCCTGAATTTCTTATATTTATTATTTTTATAATTAATACTTACAACTCTTTGTTAGTGTATAGAGACATAATTTGAGTATTGACCCAGCAAACTTACCAAACTATCTTTCTTATTCTAAGAAGTTATCTGAGGATACATTTGTGCTTTCTATATAAGTAATGTTATTGGTTATGAATAAATTATTTCTTCCATTCAAATAATTTAAAATTTTATTTCTATTTAGTTGTTTTGTTTTGCTTTGTTTGCAATGGGGAACCAAACCTAGATCCATATGCAAGTTAGACAGGTGCTCTACCATGGAACTACATCCCAGCCCAAAATTTCATTGCTTTTTCTTGTCCTACCTCACTGACTAGGATTCTAGGTACCACGGTGATAGCTACAAATCTTGTTTTGTTCTTGATTTTAAGAGGAATTCACCTTGAATATAGTTTACCTATAGATGTTAGGAGAATATTCCTTTGAGATTAAAGAATTCCCCTCTCGTCTTATTTTTCAAAGTGTTTTTATTTTTAATAAGGGATCGATGAATTATTTTATCAAATGTTTTTCTGCATCTGTTCATATAATTTAATCTGTTACTCTGATGAATAGCATTAGTTACTGATTTGGCCATATGTATTTTCTTGTTTCTACACCATTGGATTCCATTTACTAATATTTTATTTAGGAGTTTTAGATATGTGTAATGCTGGCCTATGATTTTCTATCCTCATATTGCCCCTATTGGGATTTTTGTGTTGAAGTTTTTCTGGTCTCACAGATTGAGTTGGGGAAATTGTTTTTGTAGTCTTTTGATTTTCAAATAAGTTCAATAATACCCAGTCTTCTCACATGTGTACAAGCCCTGCTGTACTAGCAACATCATTAAGTTGGTTTGACAATATAGAATTTTAAAATACAATATCTCTGACCCAGAAATTTCACTGCTGGGAATTTATCCTATATGGATATAGGATAAATAAACAAGCATACAAAAATATATTCACAAGAAGAATATATATTGTTATAATAGCAGGAAATTAGAAACAAAATTCCCATTGGACACATCTTATTTCTTATTTTTTTAAGTAAAATATTGATTACCATGACAAAGAGTGAGGTAGATCTATTTGTGCTGATGTGTAACGTTCTCCAAATTCTATAATTAGGGTAAAGCAGGTGGCAGAGCAATCCTGTGGATTTTTAAAAAGAGTTTTATGGATGTGCATGTCCTATTTCTGGGAGGATAGCAGGGTGCTGAAGGACCTCATGTCTTTCCATGCCTCTTTGTAATCTTGTGCATATGTGTGTCTCAGGACACCTGTACCTGGCTGGAGGAGGCCTGTGGATGAGATGCCCTCCCTTTCAGCTAACCAACTGCACAGAGTCTCAGCTGTTTCCTTGCTGACCCTTGTGGTCTGTCACCATCCCAGAACGGAAACCTGCATTAGGCCTGGGTTTAGCCAGAAGAAATGTTAAGTTGACATAAATAGGAAGCTCTATAACCTCCTGCAAGTGTTGCCTTGGAAACCAGAGCCTGGGCGGTCTCCATGGAAACCATTCTCAGCCTTCCGCCTGAAGGAGTTACCGCCCACCTTTGCTGGAGCCTTACTTATGAGGGACCTCGGAGCTTCAATAAATATTTAAGCAATGGCGGTGGAGTGGATCCTGTTC